ATTATATGAGTGATATATATTTAAGATGAAGACAGAAAGAATGTTTAGTATCGTTTATACCTGACAGGAACATAAAGCACACATCTATTTAGCTGGCTCTTTGGAAATTGCAGCTTTCAGAATGCGCATACACGAGCATTGCCATTGATACAAGCTGTAGCAGAGGCCCTAAAAATGGGAAATTGGTTCAATCCTGGAAAAAGTCTAGATGTCTATGCCACAGTCTACAAGGCCATGGAAAAGATCAAGGACAAAATGACTGTTTGTTCATCACAAGGTATTATTCTTAGGGGAACTTGAATCGTTATCCCAGAAGAAATGCAACGACAAGTGGTAGACCTGGCTCATGAAGGGCACCAGGGAATTGTCAAGACGAAAGCCCTCTTGCGAGAAAAAGTCTGGTTTGCACTAATCAATGACTTGGTCGCGAAGAGAGTGAAATTGTGTATCGCGTGTCAAGTAGCAACGCCGGAAGCTAAACGGGAACCACTAAAGATGTCACCGCTTCCCGCGTCCGCCTGGCGGGAGGTCAGCGTGGATTTTAAATAACTCTCGACTGGAGGATACTTACTAGTGGTCACGGATGATTATTCAAGGTACCCTGTAGTAGAAGTTGTGCGCACAACCTCCGCAGTGGTGGTTATTCCACTTTTGGATAAGATCTTTGCAGAATACGGTGTTCCCGCGATTGTCAAGCCTGACAACGGTCCTCCATTCAATGGCAAAGATTTCAAGCAATTTGCAGAGTCTTGAGTTTTCGGCATAGAAAGATAACACCCTTGTGGCCGAAATCCAACGGAGAAGTGGAACGGTTCATGTGGACATTAAACAAAACTATCCAAGTAGCGCAGACAGAGCATCGCCCATGGAAGGAAGAACTTTGTAAATTTTTGCGGAATCACCCTATTTTGTGATAGAACGGAAAGGATCCATGATTACGGCTAAACATGAAAATAAAACGATAACTCGAAACTTGTCATTCTTCAAACCTGTTAACATTGAAGAGGACAGAATTGAAGATGATCGATAGGGGACATCACCTCAGCAAGATTCAGAAAGCTCGACTGTAAAAATGGTGAGAAGATATCCATTACGGAGTTCAAGAAGACCTCCTAAGCGTTTCAATGATTACATATGTTAAGTATATTAGTTAGATCTTAAGTAATACATTGACCATCTTAAGTATATTGGGCAAAGACCTTTAAATATGGTGACCTTAGTATGATTTTGAGAATTATTATAGGACATTCTAGGATGCGCAAAACATCAGAAAAACGAATGAAAAAAAATGAGACTTTATTTTCCAACTTAGTGAGGAATGTAATGTACTAGTTTACTTCCTGTACATTAACATAATGTAAATGAGTGTACAATAGGTATATAATAGAGGAATGTGTAATTTGGCGGAATTCAGAATACACTGAGTTTTAGACAAGTGATATACCTGTTCTTCAAGCGAATACATAAAACATGACAAAAGTGACAAAAATCAGCATGCGAAAATTTTGACTAACGTAAAAGAAATCCTAGATCCGCCCTGGTTCTAGATATATATTTATATACATAATTAGGTATTACTTACGTATTATTTAAAAAAAAAATTTAAAGAACAAGTTCAGTGGAATGACCATTATTAGGTACCAGGCGATAATCGGTAATCACAAAGACCGCCATTTGGGATTATTTACATACTTATGAATTATGCAACATGAACTCCACTGCTAAATTAACAAGACGCCTACTAGGCGTTATATGATCGCGTCGTTCACAGCGGCGTAGCCAGCCCAGCTATGCAAATTTTGTGTCGTAAATGTTCTTAATAATAAAAATGAACAATATAGTATACTGAACTATAGGTCGCATGTTGAAAGCAGGAGAAACACAGAACAGCCCATTTCAAAACCGCTCTACATCTTTTACCTAGGGTAGCCGATGTAGGCTTACTGTGCTCGACGTGTGCAGTTGTATATATGTGTAATGAACGTAAAGATGAGGAAAACGGCAACGTTTGAGTTATTTTATTCAATCCAGTGAACTAGAGTTCATGATTTAATCTGACTACCGGCACCAGTGTTTGTTTGACCACAGATAACAGATTCAAACCAAGACGTAAGGCCTGTTTTCCACTTCAATCGTATCGTAGCATAACGTAGCTGTTGACGCTACGTTTCGGTACAATGAGATACCCACGCAGCTGCGCGACGCCCACGCACGCCATTCTCAAAGCTTTCAAAGCGTCTGGGTACGAGGGTGCGCTACGCCTACGTTTACGCTACGTAACTTTTCGAACAACCCGCCCTGGTGCTATTAGTCTGTCTCACCTCTATTAACTGTGGTGTGTGGTTTGACGGCCAAAAAACCAAATTAGGCGTTTGTGTACGTCATGACGCACGTGATTGTATGGGCAAGCCATATTGGTTAGTTAGCCGCGTGATATTTGTGCTCAAATACATGTGCACTTCACTTGTGCTTGAATTTTGCCAGAGTTTGGTTATTTCGCCTTTCGGCCTGTTGCCATAATTTCATTGCCAAAGCGTTCGATCAGTTGGAAACCACACGAGTATTCTAATGTCGGGAAACAAAAGTAAAATCAACAAAAAAAGAACCATGCAGGGTAAGTTGATGTTTTCGATGGCTGATTGTGTTGAATAATATATTTAGCTATTTGCTCTTTTTGTAGATGACAAATCTGTTTTGCCAGTTGCTACAACGTCTTCTTCGCCGATAGACGGCAGCAAACAACAAGATTCCACTTCGTCTTCTCAGCGGAAGCAGCCAGACCCAAGTCCAATCCTTGTTGGGTATCTGCACAATGTTAGTCCCACGAGGGTAAGTGCAAAGGGTTCGGAGTACTTTTCCTTCATGGTCCAAGAAAAAGACCGTGCAGTAAAAGCACTTTGTTTTTCGCCGAAAAAACATAAATTGACGGTGGAGTCGAAAGCGGAAAGCAACAGTCCGCATAACAGTGAAGAAAACGTTGTTTGGGTAAACCATTACACACGAATTGACATGCCCCAGAGACGGAGGTCGATTTTGCATACGAGAGAGTTGGCGAAAATGCGTCGACGCCACGTGTGATGAATACGGTAGAGGTGGAGGCTGTAAAAGTGTTCGAGTTTGTGGCAGTGCGTGGTCTGGTTATATTCGGGGATAATCGGCCAGAAGATGTCCCCGCAAAACCTGGCCTCACCAAACTAGAGGCCTGTTTTGTCGACGAGCACGGTAGCATTCCGCTCACCCTTTGGAACAAGGAGATTGATAACGTGGAAAACGAACATTATTATGACATCGTGAATCTTCGTGTTCGGCAATATCTTGGCCAAAAGTACTTATCATCGACTCAAGCAACAATCGTTAAAGAGATCACAGGTAAGAAGCCCCACATTGGTCCTAAAGCAATCGAGAAGGCGAGAAGCCAATTTAAGAAGAATGAGGTTTGGTGTGGTTCGGTGTTAAGCGTGGAGACGTTTGCGTACTACACCTGTGTAACTTGTAGCAAAAGAGTGCAGGTTCGCCAGGGTTCTGAGATGCTGAAATGTGCCAATTGTCAGTCCTGTTTCCTGGTGAAGAACAGCAAAAAGAAACTGACCGCAAGGATTTCTTTAAAGAAAGGTGACGAGGTGATGTGGTATTCGCTTTTCCCAACGGCTCTGCAAGCGATTATTTATGTTTATGTTTTTTAAACTCACTGCTATTAAACACTTAGTGTTGTTGATGACAGATGACCTAATATTTTAGAATAAAAGTTGCGTTAAAATTTTTTTTTTCTGTAAATAGCCTGTTTGGAGAATCTTATTTGCTGTTTGCTTTATGAACCTTATGTTTGCTTTTGGTTTTCTCCATGCAAACATACAAGAATATTATTCATTCAGTTATTATTTGGTTGTTAATGTTAGTTTGTTATAATTAAATATTGATGTTTTGACATTTTTGGCTAATGTAATTTGTCATAAGAGCTAGGGCATTTGTTAGAATTGATAAGGGAACAACGTATTGCAGTTTCGCTGTGCTTCCAATCTTGGGGAAAATCTTGTTTTTTCAACATGATGGTAAATGATGTGGCTGATATTTTAGAGAATTAGTGAAATTTTGTTATAAAAGTTGCGCAAAAAAATAGTTGTTTGTTATTGCCAAGTGCAAGGTTATAAGGTTATGTTTGTTAGGAAAAAATACTGTTTTTGCCAACATTATGTTGGAACGGACGATGTACCTAACAAGATAACGTTAAAATGTTTCCTTGTGGGCGGAAGAGAACGGAAACTTTAAGTTGTTTGTGCCAAAAAGGAGTAAACACAGTCCGCCTGTATATATCGACGGAGTGAATAAAGCCGGTTTTCCACTAGCGATATTTTTCGGGCGAAGCGACTTTATTCCTTTGTATTTGAGCAATTTGTTCCAGATGGTTGCACTTGAGAGCTCTGAAACAAAAGTAAAATATCGCTTCGCGCGAAAAATATCGCTAGTGGAAACCGGCTTAATGCCCATGTGGGTGTCATAACATTTGTCACTCATAAACGCGACAAATAGGTTCATGTAGGTGCATTTGTGGATAATCTGAAGTCGGAATGGCGGGCAATAAAAATATTGGCGAGCTTTATCGTATATACAGGGTGAGTCAGAAAAAAGTCCCCTCTATTGAAATCAAGCCTTTGTTAGAATCTGATTGCCTTAATATTATGATAAAACCAATTCAAAGCAAGACGCTTTATTTGAATCCCTCAACCTAATAACTATGCTATTGACACACTACTGCCTTGATCATGCATTCAAATCAACAAAGGCTTCATTTCAATAGGGGGGACTTTTTTTTGACTCACCCTGTAGTTGTATATAACAATTTAAATGAGATATTGTTCCTATTCTATGATGAATGACAATAAAATTTTTGAAGCGACTTAGGAAAGGTGGATTATACATTTTTGTATAATAGAGCGTAAATAGTTATTCTATAAATTTGTCAGAATTTCACGCATTAGTCCTTTAATGTATTTCCTATTTGCCTACTCGGGCGCAAAATATAAAGCATTTAATTCGTTTTGTGGGCGTCGACAATTGGCATTGCCAATGAGATTCATGAGAACCAGGCTTTCTTTCTCGCTAACCGCAAAATATTTCACCGGAGGTGGAGTAAACGCCTGAGTAGTAAAATAGAGAGCTAAATTGTAGGAGTAAATGGATTGTGAGCTCCCTGAATGCGATGTCAAATTGGTTAATACAATTAACTAAAAAGATCAATAAACTTTATTTTGAGTATAATTTGATTGAAATGAGTGATTTACTGAACTTGAAGACTGAAGTAGTGTCACAAATTATAATATATAAATCAAAAACCTCAAACTGAGCCTAACTTACTAAGCATACTTCATGAAAACTTAATAGAACTTATTATTTATATTATTGCATTTGTGCATTTTCAGCCATTGTATATTTCAGCAACAATCAATTGCAGTGTTAGTTTGGTTACTTTTGATGAAATACTATAAGCCTGAGCTTATTGGCCATGTATTTGATTGACTATGGTACCCTTTAGTATTTCCACCATCTATGCTATACAGTTTATTGAGTATTTGCGATAATGTGTGCTACAATAATAAATAAAAATAGCATATGTGACTAATAACTGATATTGCCTGACTGATGGCAGATATCACAGTATGTTTTAATGGCTTTTGTGGCCAACAGTTCTTCATTACAATATAATGATTAATGGTATTTAAATAAACATTAAGTTTTTCTGTAATTACACATGTAATGTTAGTTGAATGACTTGGTACATCATGAAAATAATTTTTCGCAGTGATCCACCATGTAGGCATACTGTAGTTGATGCAGACCCAAACCCAATGTAAATGTTGTTAGCATACTTTGATGAATAAAATGCTGAATGGAAAGTAATACATAAGGAACATTGTACTCCATTGGACACTTTGTCTGTGTTACACTTTGACTCTGATATACCACACAGTTATATAATTGATGATGTAGAGTTGGAGTGAGAACAAATCTGAACAAATATATCCACATTGAAGTTGAAATGTCACGTACGGCTGAAATGTGAATGATGTTCATCAGAGTGCTTTAGGACTGAACCGCCAAATTTAAATGGTTATAGTATTGCTGACAAGCAATGTAATGTTTAATCACAGTTGTTTGATTGTTGATGATGTTGAACTCCATATTTAATGCAGTGGTTTCTTAATTGATCAATTTTCATGTAGCCTGTAAGCAAAAATATAAGTTTGATTCAATTAAAGTAATCACAAATTATTATATGATACAGGAAATAAAAATCTGACAGGCATGGGATAAAAATAGAATTAGAACATGAGTGAAACTTACCAGGCATGGTGTATCAGCTGTCCCTTTGAAGTCAAAAAGTATGCACCATTAGGTGCCGGAAGGTAGAGTTCTAGATAAACGCACAACAGCACTATGTAGTTACAAATTTGAAATAAAACACTATACATGGTCAACAGAGCTCTATTTTTCGGGTAAACAATTTAGAGTGCACCATAGCATACTAGTGAAAAAAATTCCTATATTTGTACATAAACTGGTTCAGCCAATCCTTTCGTTGTTCCACAGTATGTGACACACAAATATTAGCTAACAATAATGCAATCCACAATAACCCATATTGCACAATAATCACGTAATACTCAGGTGTAATACAAAGATATTCACCCTAGATATTTAATTGTAAACTTCACAGCATCATGATCTGAATAATAAATATTAACCACATCATTTTCAGTTACTTCAATTGCTTTCGTTTTCGTGTAAACATGATCTAATAGGCTTCCAGAAGATAAAAATGTTGACTTTGTTACAATTTGAGTATAATTTAAAGAGTGCATTAACAGTCTTAGATGCTCAACTTGGTCTTCATTATAGTAGTTAATATTAAAATCACCAAGGACAATATCAACAGGGCTACCTGTGAGGAGATATTCCAAACATTCTATGTATTGCAACACATTAGAGTTCTGTTTTCTGTAGAGGAGAAGAAAATTTATTACTTTGTTTGACTTGTAGTTAACTACTTCATATTTTAGTGCATTTAATGAAGTGAAATATTCACAAGTTCTGATCTTAACAGTACGTCTTGTGCATACTGCCATACTTGAATATTTATCAGCGACATGATCTTGACAGAACAATGTAAAGGGACTGAGCGTGTTGATAATTTCATCATCAGAATCAGATGGAAGTAGCTGAGTTTCAGTTAGAGCTATGAGGTCACTAGTAAAAAGTCTTAAATCACATTTAATGTCAATGCAGTGTTTCTTTAGAGACCTAACATTCAAAAGTGATATGGTGAGAGTATCGCTGTTATTGTGTTGCAAGATAGTTGGATGACAAACCATACATTCATTTCTTAGTCTTTCATATTCTTCAAGAACTTTAGGATTTGTTTTTACATGCTTATTGGCAATCTTTCCTGAAATAAATAGGCCTTCTAAAGAGGTTGCTCTGCTTAATGCAACATAAATTTGTCCATAGTTGAATGCTTTTTGTTTTACTAACTCAGTACTGACTACCACTTGATCAAGTGTCAAACCTTGAACTTTATGTACAGTACATGCCCAGGCTAAAGTCACAGGGAATTGTACTCTCTGTATTTCTGGAGAAGATGGTTTACCTGGTCTAATCTTGATTTTAGCCAACACAGGTTCAATTGGGACAACTTGGTGTTCTCTTGCCAATAGATTGTTACTACTAGTGATCAGATTTTTTCCAGCATTCGGGTCATCAAATTTAATGTAAAGAACACTTGGTTTCTGGTTAATTGGATTTACATCAATTTTAAACACACTTCCCATTTGTCCATTGATAAGTCTGTCACAAATACTAACATTTGTTGTTAACATTACCCTGGCACTTTCTTTGATGTGAATTTCGTAATCAAGTCCCCCTGTTTCAGATCGTTTTCTTGCTAAAACCCTGTCAATATCTTGTTTGTTCACATTTGCTGGAAATTGATCTTTAGCTTGAAGAACAAATAATGGTCCAGAAAGTTGTTCTAATTTTGCATTATTGTGATCGTCAACTGGCGAGTTCTCTGCCCATATATGAAGTGCATGTGATGGATAATCAGGGTCATCTGGGGATATTGACCTTGACTCAATGACTCCAATATCATCCTCTGTTTGGGTAGCAGTTCTAACTCTGTTAAGAAGTTGAATAAATTGTTGATCATTTCTTTGTCTCATGATTTCGGTAAGCTCTATCATTTGAAAGACCTTCCATGGATGACATAAATTGAAATGATCATTTCTGTAAGTGTCAAAAACAAATCTCTTACGTATTGGCGGTAGTTGACAAAGATCACCCACAACTATAATAGATATTCCTGCAAATAACAGAGAATTTGGTGTACCAAAAATATCTTTCAATCTTTGGTGGATATGAAGTAAAGTTGTATTCCCTACCATAGAAATTTCATCAATAATAAGTTTCAATTCAGACAATGTTAATCTTAATTGTGTCCTTTTTTGGTCAGACATTGGAGGTACATTATCACCAGCTTCTTTAGAAATAGCAAGACCAGTATTAATTGTTGTACCATCAATATTTATTGCAGCTACACCTGTTGGTGCCATTAACAGAGCTGTTGGTAAACCAGCATTAACAGGAGGATGTCTAAATGTCTTAACTGCTGTATGATATATTGTTTTAATAACATGACTTTTTCCGGCACCACCACCTCCAGTTAGAAAAAGATAGAGTGGTTCCATTTCAACTGGTTTTAGACTGTTTAAGTTCTTCATTTTGTTACGACACCATGACAGGAATGTATCATATGCAAGGCGTTGCTGTTTGTTTAGTGATCTGACATTTTGGCGTAATACATCATCAGGCATCTCTGTTGGTTGGTGATAGGTTACAATACCTCCAGAAGCAGACTCACTGTGTGCTGGATCAAGTTGTGATGGTGACTGTTCATTAAAAGATTCATCTGGGTTTGAATCATCAGGCATTTCATCTAATACATCTGCATTTTCCTGATCATTAAGTGAATCAAATGATGGACCAAAATTTCCTTGATTAGATTTCAGCACTTCAAATGCTTCACTAATAACATTTGCGTCAGGTTCAAATACCGATCTGTTGAGTTCAATGATTTTTTGGACATCGGTTTCATAAAATTTGGATGTGTATGTTTGATTAGCAGCTAACAAATTATTTTCATCTCGCCATGGATAATAAAGCATAAGTAGATGGTGGAAATATATTTCTGGCTGTCTCATTTTATTTGGTGTATGATACCTTACTACGACTCTGACTTTTCGACATTTCATGTACTCATTTTTGCCAACCAGTTTAATAATTTTTGGAAGACATTGACATGTAGCACTTATTGCACTTTGGTTTTCAATGATGTCATCAGTTAGGACATCTCGCTGGGCATCTTGTGTTTCACAGTCTACTTTGTAATCTTTATAGTAATATGCAGCAAATTCTGCAAAACACATATTGTTAACAATGGGTATTGATGTTGGTCTAATGATGTAACGTTCAATGATATTTGATTTGAATATATCAGTACTTTCATCATCTAGTTCATCCAGCTCTTCCTTGGTTTTAGTTACCCGTACTCTTTGTTGTGGGAGATTTGTGTTAACAAATACTGTCTTGGGGAATATTTTTCTCAAACCAAAGTTCAGGCATTGCTCTATAAACACATTCTTGAGAGCTCACTTCTCTTGTGGAAAGGAAGGCAGCACCAACTTTTTTCAAACCCTCTCTAATGCTCATATTGGAAGCTTTTGCTTCTTTGGCTGCATTGGCAATAGCTTGTGAGCATTCAGTCTCATCTTTTGTGAAGTATGAACATACATATGTGATGCATTTATAGTGATTAAATACAGGTTGCAAGTCAACATTTGCCGCAAAACCTTTAATCCCTGCAACAAAGTAGTTATTGATAAAACAGCTATCAACAGGCCTTTTAAGATGTAAATCAAAGTTTGAGTCAGGGGAAATGGATAGTGCCCAGTAATATTGGTCTTCAGTGATCTCTAAAGATTTTAAAATATCTGTCTCAGTTAATGAGGCATCATAATCTTTCTTGGATGGGTTAAGAATCTCATCAATTTTTTGTTTGACTGAGTTCAGGATTTTGATGCGCCTTTCAAGTATGTTGGTTTTGACTCCTTCATCTAACTCGTCACTAAGTGGTTCTGCCACAATTGTTCTTTTTGTAAAAAATTGTCCAAAATTAAATCTACAACTAACATTTTTGTCTTTTCTACACGTTTTTGAGTGGTTGTGCTTTTGATAAGTATTGACTAACTCATGTAACTCTGGTTCTTCATTTCTGTCTGGAAGATTAGCCTGTACATGGTTATCAATAAATTTTGTATATTCCTCTTTGTTATCAGAAGTTAGCTTAGGGGTGTTAGAAGTCCATATCAATGCATGTAAATGTGGAGAGCCTCTCATCTGAAATTCAATGCGAAGTGCATAGTATATTATTTTACCAATTGGGTTACTTTCACGAAGTAAAACTTCAGTGAAAAATGTTTCCACTCTGTGCTGGAAGTGTTTCGCAACAACAACTGGGTTATGATTCAACATTGAACACCTTTCATTGTAGGACAAAGCTTCAATTTCCTCCTCTGTCATGTTTTTACCTTGTGTTTTAGCTATAATTTGAAACAGTTCAGGCCACCTTAGGTCAGCACATGACAATGTCATAAACCATGTTGGAATACCCAATTGTTTTACCATGGCTACTACTTCATACATGAATTTTTGCCAATATGGTGGTGTGCCAGGAATTTGTCGTAGAAACAGATATGCTTGGTCTTGACAAATCAAATCTTTTAGTCTGCTTACATTTGATTTTATTTGCGATGCAGTGACAGGTTGTCCTTGCATTTTCTTCAAGGCTATGTTAATACTGACAGATACTTTCTTTTGCTCTGTTATAAACTGTGCAAAGAAAAGATATTCCGGGTTAATTGCAAACCTTCCACTATAATGTAAAAGTCTAGCATTAAAGTATTTCACTGGTGACAATTTAATCTTCCGTTCATGCATAAAACCAAATCTACCTTTTGGAAACAATGCAGGAAATGCAAGTTCTTCACATTTTTTGTCCATCATTAATGACACAGGGTGCTGGTTTTCACCAGGCGCGATGTTGTACACTTCACTTCCCGATGAATATTTTGAACTATTTTGTGTTATTATTATGGATAATCAGGTAACACAGCTTGTAAACAGGTTTCATTAGGAGCTTGACGATGCTCATTCAATGGGTCATCACGTTCTTCAATGTCATCATCATCATGTTTTTCTGTGGTGCTAGACAAATCGTTTTCATTTGTAAGATTATTTTCATGCAGCTGTTTAAACCTTAATAAATTACTTCCAATGTTCTCAATATCAATTGTTATACTATGATACAATGGATTGTGGACTTTCAGCCAGTTCAAAGCATCAAGAACAAACTGAGGACGTACTGCTTGGAAATACACATGACCCCTGAACTCCAGTTTCCTTTTCAGTTTTAACATAATAATGCCAGATCTTTCTGGTGGACGAGGTAAAATATTACAGGACTGATCACATTTAACAGGCACATTACATATAGCCCCTTTCACTTTTTTCTGCTGTCCTTTTGGCATCACTATAATTTTTTCAAAAATTATTCTTTGTGCTATAAGAATCTGCTCAAGCTTTTCTAGAGCCAGCAATTCATTTGGTACATCACCAACTTTCATGTCATTAAACACAGCTTGACATGGTGTTTTACCTTTTAAAACTTTTGAATGGCATGTTTTGCAAATGTACAGTTTTTGATCAAATGACTTAATATCAGTGAACAAATTTGCCATGCCATCATCATACATGTCCTTCTGTAATAAAACAACTGATTTTCTATACAGTAATCGCTGGCAAACTGAACATACAAAAAATGGACCATCTTTTATTTTAGTTTTAAATGTTGATATACAGTTATCTAAATCTAAGTTCCGGGTTTTACACTTCTCATTTTTCATTTCTATAATTTCAATTTTTTTGCTGGGATTCATTGAGCTATATTTCTTACCATATATTTAAAGGAGTGCTTTCTTTTTTAAAGGATCCATTGAACTATATTTCTTACCACATGTTTCAAGGAGTGTTCCCTTTTCTAAAGGATCCATTGAACTGTATTTCTTTCCATATGTTTCAAGGAGTGTTTTCTTTTTTAAAGGATCCATTGAACTGTATTTCTTTCCATATGTTTCAAGGAGTGCTTTCTTTTTTAAAGGATCCATTGAGCTATATTTCTTAGCATTTTTTTCAAGAAGCAGTTTTTTAAAGGATCCATTGACCTATATTTCTTAGCACTTCCATCAAGAAGAACTTCCTTTTTCATATCATCCATCGATTTGTATTTTTCTGCTTTTGTATTGAGAAGCACTTTCTTTTTTGAAGGATCCATTAATTCATAGTTTGCTTTTGATGTTTTTTGCCATTTCTCTAAACATTGTTTTTTTTCTGCAGGTTCCAAGTTTGCGTAACTATTTCTGCGATTTTGGAGCATTGTGCTTTTATGTCTGGAGGACTTATGTTTTCGTACTATTTTTTGCCTCTCTGAATTTGACAATTTATGGGAACACAATAGAAATTGAACAGTGTATAACACATTTTCACATTTCACTTGTTTCATAAAAAAATCATAGAGTTTATCAATCATGCAATCAAGGGTACCACACATTTCAAGTCCAATTCTTTTTAGCAATCCATTGTATGCAACTAAAGAATATTTTGTAATGCTTTTCTTATTGATGAAGATGCAAGCTAAACAAAAGTCAGAAAACCACAACAAAAACCCAGTATTGTTTTGAACATTCACTGTGATAAATTTCACAAAATCATGTTTAGTAGTTCCCTGTTGTCTTGTTGTGTAAGCTATGTCAACATTAGCATCAACTATAGGCAATCTTTTTGGCAAGTATTCACATGTAATCGTATTTTCAATGTTCAGGGATTTCTTGTAGAATGACATAGCATTCTCAGCAATAGCCTCTAACGTAGACTCATCCCAGTATGTACATTCTTTAATCGTGGAAAAACATATGGAATAGATGTATATCGCACACAATTCAGCTAATGTGACATTATGTTTGTCTGCAATTTTTGTATCAGATGTTAATAGAAGTTGATTTGATTTTGCACCCTGATTTATAGTATCATTTGTGTTACTTGTCAATTG